ATACATATAATGGTTATACCAATTTCTGAGTGCTTGACCCAGCAAAAGGAAACCTTTTTGAAAAAAAATTGAGTGTCTTCTTTTTTCAAAGAGATCTTGCAATTCTATCTGAGTTTCTCTCTCTCTTTTTTTTGCGCCTAATAAATGATAATGCTGTTTAAGGCTTTCATTTCTTTCATGGAAATATTTCTGCAATTTCTACACTAAATTTGATTGTTCATCTCTCATTTGAGATATTTTTACCACATTGTTAATTTCATGTTTTCAACCAAAATAAAAAATGCCTTGAAAATGTAAACATTTGCATTTATTATGATGTTTTGTAGGTTCTGTTAGAGTTTACTGAGCTTCAGATCTTATATCTCCATGGTAATCAAATAGCAGACATTAAAGAGGTTGCTAAGCTTTCTGCTCTGAAGAAGTTACGAAAGCTTACAACCCATGGCAACCCACTGGAGAAAGCAAAGGTAGGAATGAAAGAAATGAAGACTTGCTGCACATGATCAGAGATTGTTGTGAAACTATTTGAAAAATTCTAATTTGGCCAGTTTAGCTTTTTTTTTTTGTTAAAGTTTTTTTTTGTTGGGGGGGGGGGGGGTTAAGGATGAAAAGTTATTGAGTTACTATTTGTAAAGAGTTAAATAAACAACAACCACAACGTGTGATGAATTTCATTATTTTAACATCTTAACAGATTTTTATGACTGCATTTTGTATCTTTAAATAGTTAAGAACAGGAATTATTTATGGTGTAAAAATGGTCAACATTTGCAAATTTAGGATATTTTGCTTAATCTAAGGGGTTTCAGTTGTGACTCATTACTCTAAATACCTGTTTTAATCAAATTTCATATAAAGTCATGCAGTACATGTAGGTTTTGTGTGCAGGAAACACACTTACATGATTAAAAGCTGTCAAACTGATCACAGATAATTCCTTACTTAATGTTTTTTTGATAAAAAAAAAGTTCTAAAACCAAAAAGATACACAATACCAAAGTATGTTTATTCTTGTATAGTTGTATATAGTGTAGAGGCTAAACTTAACTCCCTTCCCTGCATTCAAACATTTTAACACATATACCTTTGGCCTGCAATCAACACTTTAATGCACATTTCATTTTTGGTGTTTTCTGCTCTGATAAAGCTCAAATTTTGAATGGTTTGATATTGAATGATTAGGTAATAAATTTTGTGATTTGTTGTAGTTAAAAGAAACATTACTTATAGAAGCAAGTTTCTTGGTACGCTTTAGATTGACATGTTTTATAATTTTAAAAATACAATGTAGAAGTAAAAGTTTTCTATAATTTTTTGACAAGTTTTAAATTCAAAAGAGCAATATCTGATTTAAATTGTCCATCCAGCCTACTATTAACAGTAATCTGTTCCCAATTTAATGTCCTTGTATAAACCACAGGGCCAAGTTTACCAACTTGCCACAAATCAATCTTGAGGAATTCACAATTGTTCAAATAAAGGACATTTCCTAAAACCAAGAGGATATAATCAGAAAATGGTAAAAGCAGATCAATAGTGTCCTGTAAAAGTCTCGGTAACCAGGCTTAAGCATATCCATAGTAGTATGTGAGAAAGAATCTTCTGCAAAGGAACAGAAAAAAACCCTCATTTTTTGAAAGCATTGTAGAAGTCTCTACATATAATCAAGATAAAAAGTGCAAGTCCTAGCTAGGAGTCAGGTTGAGACTACAATAGGGAAAAACAAGTACATTGATTATATATTTCTTCTAGAATCATTGTAGAATAGATTGGTTATATTTAACTGTAAACTTAAATATTAAGCCTCATTAATATATGACCATAGATTACAATTACTGAAAAATTTGACTTAAATTGTATGTCACAATACACTAGGGTATGATATATTTACTCATTTACTGAGAAGCAACATTTTAACTAACTGGTTTTGGCAAACAAATAACTTTCTTCCAAAACTGACTGGGGACTTTTAGTAAATGCTTTTGAATTCATTCTTTTTAAACATGTCCTTTGGTGTCTTGATAGGGTTACAAGTTCCAGATCCTGGCAATGATTCCACAACTCCAGGCCATAGACTTCAGTCGGGTAACAAAGTGTGATCGGAAAACAGCGGAGGTATGGAACAATCTCAACAGTGCTCCAAAGAAAAAGAAAGAAAAAATAGAGGATGACTGAGGAAGTTACTGCGGATATTCATTTTATTATTTTATATATTGTTAATTTGATTATAAATTTCACATGCAGTGTAATTTATGTGACTATTGAAATAAAACATGTAGTCACACTAATAATTATGAAGAATTTACATTACAAAGTAATGTATATATTGTATACTTTGCATTTATATTTATGTAGTCAAACAAAATGAAAATAAGTTTTCAGATTAGAAAAAGGCAAGTTGTCATATTTTAATATTTCTGTGATATTTCAAATGGGATAGTGTATTTTTATGAATTTTACAATAATTTGTTATTAATTGAAAATTGTTTTTGTATTTGGATGTGAAAAATTATTAAAGATTGACATGTACATACTACAATTAAATTATCAAAATAAAGTCACATAAAAACCTGTCAGAGTCAGTCACTTTTAATGTTTACAGAGAATGGGTTTACCTTTTGTTTATGTTTAGACAATAATATTAAAATATTAAAGGAGGTTATTGCTTTGTAAGTATATATTTCATTGTTGACCTTTTAAGAAATGCAGATTAGGTTCAGTCAAGATAGCAAGATTTTCAAGTATGGAATTTTAAAAGGACCACATCAAAATACATGATTTTCAGTTTCTTCAAATGTTACAAATTAATATTATTTATTGAATTATTTCAAAATGCAACTCCTTCTTCAGGTATATAGTCAAAACCATTTAAAATTAAGCAATGTCAACATTCATACTTGTAATTCTGTTAATTAATTTTCATTCCAATGAAAAATGTTCCTGGTGTTAATAAAACGAACAATCCCTTACATTTAATATATGTATATCAAAAAACACTTCAGAATTATATTGACATGCTTCTCACTGATTTAAATGAAAACTTTTGATACTTTTGAGAAAAAAAAAATAGAATTTGAATTTCGCAAAAGAAATATTATACATATGTTTGGTCAGACCAAGTCCAAACCAGTGGATGTAATTTGTTAAAAAAAAAAATTAAAAAAAAACACTTCTGGTTTTAATTTAAGTTTCTTATCATGTTTCTTGTATCTTGAAACCTTATCAGTATCAACAGAGTCCATGCACAGATCGAGGAGGGGGGTATGCTCAGCAGCCCCCCTTTTGGGGATTTGGAGAAGTAAACATTTTCCTAGATTGTCAAAAAGTTTTTAAGTCGAATTTTTTAGTAAATGCATTTGACCCCCCCCCCCCCCCCCGGAAAAAATTCCTGGATCCCTGCAGTCTGTTAAACGTACAGATAAAGACGGATTGCAACTTTGTGTGTGTATCTGAGCAAAAATTAAACAAATATTTTGTTTGAAATTTATCAACTACTGCATGCCAGGAGATGGTATTTTTAATCTAAGGAAACATGAAATGACACCCTCTTTCCTTTGTAATTAGACCCCCAACATATATACATGTATATATCAGGCCCGTAGGAAGCAATTTCAGTTGGGGGGGGGGGGGGCACAGCCATACACTTTCAGTTGAGGGGGCACCATCAACTACCAAAAAATCCTTCACAAGCAAAAAAAAAAAAAAAAAAAAAGGTAATCAGACGTTTTTATTGAGGGCGCACAAGCATATAGTTTCTATGTTTTCTATAGTACTCTATATATCGGCAAAATTATTGGGGGAGGGGGGGGGGCACGGCCTCATGTGAAATCATCCTCAAGAAGTGTAGATTCAAGCTTGTTAAAAACATGACCCCCAGGGGTAGGGTGGGGCCACAATGGATGTTCAAAGTTTTGCATAGGAAAATATAGGAAAAATCTTTAAAAAGCTTCTTCTGAAGAACCACTGGGCCAGGAAAGATGAAACTCATGTGGAATCATCCTCAAGTAGTGTAGATTCAAATTTGTGAAAAACATGACTCGCAGGGGTAGGGTGGGGCAACAATGGACGATCAAATTTTTACATAGGAATATATAGGTAAAATCTTCTCAAGAACAGCAAAGCATGATTAGTTATTAACTATTCGGAAGTATCCTAAGGTATTGTAGATTCATGTTTGATAAAAATCATGACCCCCTGAGGATAGGATGGGGCCACAATTGATTATTAAAGTTATGCATAGGAATACATAGGAAATTTAAAAAAAAATCTTCTCAAGAACAACAAAGCTATGATTGGTCATATTAATATGGAAGCATCTTCAGATAGTGTAGATTCAGATTTGTAAAAATTTTTCTCAAGAACAGCAAAGCTTTGATTGGTCATATTTATATAGAAGCATCTTCAGATAGTGTAGATTCAGGTTTGTTCAAATCATGACACCCGGGAGTAGGATGGGACCATAATGAAAGTTCAAACTTGTAGGGAAAAAAGTCACAGTTAGTCAAAGAAATATGTAAGCATCTTAGTTAGTGTAGATTCAATTTTGTTCAAATCATACCCCCCCCCCCCCGTCCAATTAGGGGTAGTTTAGGACAACTTATGCATTAAAGCGTTTAATACTGAACTGATTTTTGCTTTTTTTCCTAGCCACAGTGCTCAGGTGAGCGATGTGCCCATGGGCCTCTTGTTTTTTTTTTTTATTGCTTTGGTTCTTTTTGTTTTTGTTTGTTTGTTTGTTTGTTTTTAATAAATCCAATAGAATGGAAATTCTGGCATTGCCCCTCCTTTTGAAAAAAAATCGTAAACAAGACTTCTTTCTTATTATGCTTATGTATTATTCTTGGTATTTAATTCTTCTTAATTAAATTACATTTAGATTTGATCGTATCCTCGGAATTATTCAATGTTTGATTTAACTTTCATTGCTCAACCGGAAGTTTCAAATCTAGCGGTCAGATAATACTTTTTATCATTTTGCTGTTCATCTACATTCTGTAGGTATGGAACAGGATTGCACTGAAAATTCACATTCTAGGCGTGTATTGGACACGGATATTCAAATTTACGAAGAGCTAGAAATGAAAGTTGAAGAATACGACCCATCTTTTGAACATGACAGCGGTGAACATTTTATTGAAGAACAAGGGTCTTTAATAGAACCAGTTGAAACTGCAAAACAATGCAATGGCAACTCCAGATCATCTTACCCAAGGGGGCAGTTAACAATGGGGCAAAAACGAGAAATGTGTATTTTCAAGGAAGAAAATCCTAAATACACAATGAGAAAAATTAGGGATCATTTTCAAGAAAAATGGAATCGACACATTGGTCACTCAACAGTTAGTGACATTTTGAAGCTCAAATCAAAATATTTAAGTCTTCCAAAATTAAGGGAAAACTGTCGGAGAATCAGAAAAACGAGGAACTTTGATATGGAAGAAAAGCTCTACAAGTGGATAGTGGAGAATAATATGCGTGGTGTTGGAATTACAAACAATGCAATAAAAGAAAAGGCACAGTCTTTAGGGGAAGAATTTGCAGTTGATGAAACTTTTTCATATTCAAATGGATGGCTGCATTGTTTCAAAATAAGATATGGGCTCAACAAAAGAAAGATAGCCACAGAGACAAGCCCTGTAGTTGTGGGATCACAGATTGATTTCATGAATCAGATACATTCAGAGTTGAAATTTTATGACTTAAATGAAGTGTACTGTGTTGAGGAGCTAAAGCTCATATATAACTTGAAGCCATATCGACAAACATCCACTATGGCAAGTGTCGTAGTAGGTTTGTGTTCAAATGCAAATGGATCAAACATGCTAAAACCTTTTGTTTTCACACCACCATCAAATGCAAAAATTCTTGGAGAAAGATTTCAGCCAGACAACTATGCATGGTTCAGGATTATCAATAGCAAGGATGTAAATCTCTTCTCAGACTGGATACTTGATTTTGATGAACAGTTGAGCATCAACAAAAAGAAAGCTCTGCTTTTACTGAAATTTTCTCTCCAGCATGAAGAAATAGAAAGTGGACTTCGAAACATAAAGCTCATGTATCTTCCTCAGAGTGTTGAAGAAGTGAGTATGAATAATCCTTTTGATGCAGGGTTATTGGATGAATTTAAGACTCGATACAGAGGCTATTGTCTACAGCATTATATTGAACAGCAGTCAAAAGGTGAACAGGAAAATTTGGGATTGAGAGATGCTCTAAGATACATTTACAATTCCTGGGTTACGGTTCCACCGCAGACTATCCTGAAATACTGGCAGCAGTCTAAGTTGTTGTCATGTGTTGAAGTGCTGAACATTCCATCCAATGCAGGGGAGAATATAGGAAATGATGCACAAGTCTTGATGCGAAAAATTGAGGGAGATCACAAAATGACAATAGAGCAGTACCTTAGATTTGAAGAGATAAATAACATAACACTGCAGAGTGAAACAGATACAAATAATAAAGGACAGGGTACAGAAGTAACAGATGAGTGTCCAAGAGTCTCTTGTACAGAGGCAAGAGAAGGACTTTTGAAATGTATCAGATTCACAGAGCAGACAGAAAATGCTACTCAGAAGTTACAAACTATGTGGAACATGATGAAGTGGTTAGATAAACAACAATGAATACATGTTTAACTTCCTGTAAATTGGTTACATTTTTGTACTTTTTATACAAACAACATTCCTTTTAAAAAAATGAAATATTACATTTCTTTATATCATTGATTTAATTATTATACTATTTGAAGTACATTTTTGTACTTTTTGTTGACAAATATGAAAGTAATAAATACATGTACTTTTAGATGTATGTTGAGACCGTTCTCCATACCTTTTGCCCTTTTGGATGTGAAATGTATACATTGTATATATTGTATATCAATTCAACCTGTGTCAGGGTTAATATCTATGTAAGTCTTTTGAAAGTTATATATACTTGTACTTCCAATTGGATTTCACTTTTAGTTAATGAATACATTTATTAATGAAATTCCAAGTGTCCTTTTTGTGTTAACAAACAAAAAAACCCATGTGATTCTTTACTGTTAGGTTATGCATGTAATTAGATAGTGCCAAGAATTTTATACCAAGAACTTGAATTTTGTCTCAATGATCATGAATTATTTTTGTGGAACAGTTCTTAGATTCAATTTTGAGCAATGCCTTACTTAGTATAATAATCATGGTAACTACTTACCTGATACAGGTATAAAATTTACAAAAGGATTATTCATTTTTAATGACATGTTCACACTAAGCTGAAACTCTGCAACAAAGGCCCTGGGAGTCATTGTTTGAACAAACTTGAATCTACACTATGTAAAGAAGTTTTCCTATTAAGTTTCAACTTTTTTGGCCCAGTGGTTCTTGAGAAGATTTTTAAAACAAGCCACCAAATTTTCACTATTTCTGAATTATCTCCCATTGAATGAGGGCACAGCCCTTCATTCAAACAAACTTGAATCCCCTTCACCTAAGGATGCTTTGTGGCAAGTTTGGTTGAAATTGGTGCAGTGCTTTTAGAGAAGAAGTTGAAAATGTGAAGAGTTTACAGATGGACTTCAGACAAAATGTGATCAGAAAAGCTCACTTCAGCAGGTGAGCTAAAAGCAAAACAGAGGCTCATAGGTCTCAATGCTCACTTGGGTCACTATAATCCTGCTTTTCTTCAGGAGATATTTTCCCCTATATATTCCTGTGTAAACTTTGATCACATATTGTGGTCTTCTCCTACCCCTGGGGGTCATATCTACACTACCTGAGGATGCTGCCATATAAATATGACTTATCATGGCTTAGTTGTTCTTGAGAAAAAACATTTTTCCTTTATATTCCTAAAAACTTTGACTGCCCTTGTGGCCCCATCATACCCTCAGGGTCATGATTGGGACAAACTTGAATCTACTTTATCTGAAAATATGACTACCGGTAAACATGGCTTTGCTGTTTGCGAGTCGATATTTAAAAATTTTTCCATAATTGATCGCCCATTTGTGGCTCCTCCCTCCCCTGGAGGTCATAATTAGAACAAACTTGTTTATACATTTCTGAGTATGTGTCCATGTAAATATGACCAAACATGGCCATTTATTTTTGAGATTTTTCCTCTTTGTTTCCATGTAAAACTTTGATTGTCCATCATGGCTCCACCTTATCTCCAGGGGTCATAATTTGAACAAATTTGAATTTATGTGAAAAGTTAAGGAGTGTAGATTCATGATTATTCAAATCATGGCCCTTAAGCTAATAGGGGGCCACAATAGAGGGTCAAAGTCTAGATAAAAAAAACATATACTTGAGCTTCCTCTACTTTAAATTAAAGTTGTTGAAATCTTGGGCTTTTAAGTTGACGGTCACAATTAGGGTTTGATTTACTGTAGTATCTACATATTTTACTCCCAAAAAGCTCAATCCTTTGGGTAAAATGAGTGTTAACCGAGTAATCATCAAAAATTTCTTGTGCCTGTGAAATCCATTTTCTTCACATGTGTATATAAATTCCTGATTTTGGATAAAATGGTAACAACTCTTCATATAATTATAAAGAAAGACAAATCTACTTCATTAAAATATTTTGCTTTATTTATGCAAAATATAATTGTTACATACAAATAATGATCATCCTGAGTATCTAGTACAGAGTGTTACCATGGCAACCTACACTGAGTAAATCAGACTGGTGTTGTCCACATACAGTCTAAACAAAATACTGTGCATTCAACCCAGGTTACTAAAGCCTGACAACCCAAACCAAGACGTACAGGAATACCCTCCCCAAAGGGCGCATTGTCATACAACTGAATCATTTAAGAAGGAAATAAAAAGCTGGGTTCAAAACACGTGATAATAACAGGGTTACAAATTCTGAATAAAATACATAAATCTAGATCTGAAGTTTTGAATCTTGACAACATTCTACACAAATTCAAAGTTCAACTAACTGAGATTCTTGGAAATGTTTGTAATTTATAGTTGTGAAAGTCATTTGTTGTGATTTGCCAAATATCTGAAATGATGCATCTGTTATTAATGCTTGTGAACTCGTACAGCTGATAAGCTAGACTTTCAGTCATAACAAATGTATAATGATATGATTGTAAAAAATAAACAAAACCACATATAACAAGAGCTAAAATGAAATAAATATGATCATTCAACATACTAAGCTATAGTGTAAATATATAGATAATACATGTATATAGATATATGGGTATATATATATTAAACATCTAAAACAAATCACAATCACAATTAACTTTCATATGTAAGATGTCCAATGTATGTACAAAACTAGAACAAGTTTTAACATAATAAACTAAATTAAAATATATCCAAAGTTATTGCTAACAGGAATTTTATTCACTGCAGTTTTAGTAAATCAGTTTAGCTTTCTTAACGTTCTAATTTCAATGTTTAAAAAGTCTTGGTATAGTGTTAAGCTAAAATCAGTTGAAATGGTATATAAAATGCAACACTCTTTGGTTTCACAAATGTTATGAAATTAAAACATCGTTATCAAAACAGTGTATATGATATCAAGAAGCAAGACATTTTGATTACCATTTAAGTAACTGATGTACATAAAAAAATATGAAGTGTACCCTTATTTCTCTACAAATATCACACACCTTTGATTAATATCTTTAATGGTAAAAAATACCAATATTGCAACAATTTGTTCACAGAAAAACAATATACACATACTAGAGGAAGCCAGTGATGTGGAGTCCACTCATGTCAAAAAAAAATGATAGTTTTTAACCACTGTCTGCTTGCATAGATAGTAATTGCACTATAAATTATGACTTCAAAAGTTTGAATAAAAATAGAAAAAAAAAATCACTGAATGAATTACACATATTTTATAGTGGTGTAATATTGACTATTTAGTCTTTACCCATTTGTGAATGACACAATGACACAACCATATCAAGCATGAGGACTCTTCTTGTCAACATCACACACAGACTCCTCCCCCATCATGTCAATCAATCATCACAATAAGACTCCTCCTCTTTTCTTCTTTGCCGACAGCTGTCAATCCCTAATGCCCATGATGGCAGATCCTGTGGTTAGGCACCAAAAAAATAGCATTCACCTGCTTGCTCTGTGGAATCTATTTCTCCTTCAGGAACATATGGAATGGTTTGATCACAGCTTGTTCAGCTTATACAATTAAATTAATCTCCTTGACAGTATTGTGTCTCTGAATATTTTTTGAGTGTAAGTTTCATACTTCCTGTCCAACTCTATCATCCTTCAGAAATTCCTCCAAGCGGTTTTCTTCACTTGGAGTTACAGATGTTTCATTTGGAATAACAGGCACCGTCATGGAAACATTTGTGAAGAAAGCCATCTTTTCTCTAAAAAATATTTAATTTAACAATTCAACATCTTATCAAACTTCTTTCAGATGTATCAACAACATTCAACCTAGGATTACTGGGAGATAAAATAGGGATCAAAGCTTCTTTACTTTACAAGTGTTACATTCCTAAAGGACTGAATGTTTTATACCTAAAGGGCTGAGTGTTACACACCTGAACATACTTGAAAGACTAAGTATTACATACCTGAAGGACTAAGTGTTACATATGAAAAGGACTGAGTGTTACATATATTACATACCTGAAGGACTGGGTGTTAGAGTGAGGGCTATTCCTTTTCAGCCTTTGAACTTCTCTGGTGACTTTTTTCATCATCTGTTCAGCTCGTCTGTCTTGTTTTGATAGCTGCTTGCTGTCTTTATGAGCCTGAAACAGTATCATCATGGCACTTGCCATTAAATTGCAGATTTACTGTGAGTAGATGCCTATTCATCTCATTATCTGTAAAGTACATATTCATCAAAACTGACGAAATGTGATACATATATTATAATTCTCTGAAGACGCATACTTTTCCTATTTGAAATTAAACAAACCACATCTTTTAAGGTTAGGGTAAGAGTCTACCAGTAATTCTTGAGTTATCCATTTTATTCTAACACAGAATATTTTTTGTTGGATACATACTTCCACATAAATTTAATACTACAATATTTAAATGATCTAGTACACAACATTGAATGTGTTAAAAGTTTATAAAAATAGATATAAATCATTTTATTGATACATGTATACATATTGTTAGTGAATAAAGCTTGGGTAAAAGAAATTACTGGAATATATGTTTTACTCTGTATTTATAAGTTAAACTGAAATACAAATTCTCTTTTATTTAATTACATGTACATTTTTTAAAATTTTATATGTTGCAGTTTTTATATGATTGTCCTTAGATGTGTGTAATGTATGATCTATATACATACACATGTATAAAAAGATAAACTATATTTTTATTTCTTCATGGTTTTCATTTCTATGCAATCTTTCATAAATAACTATGGTTAATTTTAAATGTCAATTTACATAAATGGACAAACTGTTAAATGCCTGAGAGTACAAGGATTGCACATTCTAGTGGACAAGATATATTTCATGCATAGCATGCTGTTGAACAAGTGAATCCTTACTGTTCTAACAGCCTCAAGGTCTCTCAGTTTCTGGAAAACCATTATATTATCTATTCATCACAATTTGATAAAAACTCTCATTTTTATCCAAGACTTAATTTTTGTTTCA